TTAATGACTACATTCATTTTTCTTGTATCTAAGTAGCAACACCTGGTACTTAAACTGTTACAACATTTCCAAGATTTGAAATTTACTCTTGGGGGTTATTAAGAGATTTGGAAGCAGTGTGCTTAACATAGCTAAGCATTTATTTTGAACACTGCCTTTTGTGTAATACAGATAAGTGATTTTATGTTTTCCTTATTTAATAATACAATGCTGGATGACTTGTTACTTACTGATTTATATATAATTCTCTTTTGCTAGTCTTATTTTTGAACTTCAATGTTTTTGTAATGATGATTTAATGATTTTAATTAAATGTATGCATGTTTAGGATTCAATATTTAAGCATCATAAATACATAAAATATGCCCACAAAATGGTGGTGTACACCTTTGATTTAAGCACTTGGAAGACAAAGGCAGATGAATCTATGTGAGATTGAGGCCAGTGTGGTCTGCATACTAATTCCCAGGTGAGCTGGGACTGCTACAGCTTTAAGTCATATCTTAAAATCAAACAATAATAAAGAAAAAAAAAAAGAAAAGAGAAAAATAGGCCCAAAAGTGCAATAGTGACTCAAATATTATGGAAGTAACCAACCGTTTTTTAAACTGAATTTGCTGACTTCACATAATGAAGCATACACCTAGCACTGTTACCAGGGCCAGGAACTTGTTATTAGACAGGTTATAGGCTTTAGGGAAGAACATATATTGCTACGTAGACATAGCATTAAACTGACCCTTAATGACTTATTGCTATACTTAAAGACTATTGTTTAAATCAACTCTATCCCAAGAAGTTTCTTTTGCTGGAGATGTTGATTAACACAGAGACCCACAGCAGGTCAATATATAGAAAACAAGAGACTGTGGAATGCCCTGCCCTAAGTGGAAAAACCTATATCATACCTCCTGTCAAGGTTCCAGTATCACTGTGGAAGAGGGGGTGGAAATATTGGAAAACACAGAAGTGATAGATGAATACAAGGAGAACATGTTTTCTGAACACAGCAGGACAACGGCACATATTAACCCTCAATGTTTGTAACAGCATGCACATAATCTGTACAAGACAAAGCCAGTCAAATCCCACCTGCCTAGAGGAGGTAGGCAAGAAACCCTAGGCCTACCTGAAAATATATTGGAAATTGATAATTGCTGGCAAGTGAAAATCAGTTTACTTTAAAGGTGTGACACTTAGTAAATACACTAGATTCCAAGAGATAGACTCACTGTCAAGAGCATTAGGGGAATAAAATTAGACTCACTAGGCCTTTAAAAAAGAAAAAGTAATAAAAAGTCCTTGAATTCTGGGTATAGTAAGGTGGAGATGGAGATGAAAGGGATATGAAAATGATCAAAACACATTGCATTGAATTCCCAAGTATCAATAAAAATATTAAAAACTTTTTTCAAGACCATCTTCTCACAAAATGTTACACATATGGTCCTTCATTCAATCATTCAGTTAAGAGCTGTATAATTACTAAAATACTCTATTTACTTGAGTTCTTTTTTAACCATATTTGCAATGTGTCAGTGGCCTTTAACCATCTAAATTATGCTAAGTAAAAGAACAATTTCTGAAAGTAGAGCTATGCTAAGTGAGCTAATTATGATAATTTCAATGTGATTTAAATTGGCCAGGTGAGGAAAACTGTGTAAAAACTGAAGAAGAAATTAGTTTAACAAGATGTGGAAAATTGATTTTATAGTAGCTAAAATGTAGAGCTCCAGAGGAGGGGAATCATTAGTTAAAAGCATAAAGCCATACTTGAAATATGTGAACAGGAATTGGAGTCAAGAAGATCCCAAGACAAAGACACTAATACAAAGTTACAGTAAAGTGAAAAACCCATGAGAAATTTTTAGAACTTGCTATTTGATATTTTGGTGTTACTTGATTACCAAAACTTTCAGAAGTCAATATGGCCTGGTGTAAGTAATTAAGTTCCTTATGCTGATCTAATAATTTTTGCAAATCCTATGGAGAAACATGTTCCATTTCAGAATTGTTTGGTAGAAGAAAAATATAAAATATTTATTCCTGCGATATTTAGCAGAGGAACTAGTAATTTGGTCAGTTCTCAGTAATGGCAATAAAATAATGAAACCATATAAAGGCCACAAGATAAACCCATGGGCCTTTATAAAGTGCAATTTCTTTAGAAGGTAGTAAAGAAAGGTTGAGATATGCTTGGAGTGGCAGGAATATAAATGAAATTGTTTAATGAGTGAAAAAACTCTATCATGAAAAAAAAGTCATGAAAACAATAGAGGATTATACAATTTTTGTAAATCATGAGGTCAAAACTATTTTATTTTTAAAATATATTCAGTTGAGGAAGGCAAGTATGTTGAAATTTTGATATGAAGTCATAATAAATTTTTGAAAATTCTATTTCTTATACTTCTAAATCTTACATTGTTTGGTAAAAATAAATTATATAATTAATGTGTTAAATTTTTCTATTAAAGGCTTTTTACTTTGAAATTTGACTATAATTTTTTAAAGCATGAAATAATAGACAATAATAAGAAAAATAAAAACATTTACTTTAATATTTATAGGAAATATTGCTTAAAAATATAACAAGGATTTTCAAAGCTTTAAAGTCTTATTTGTCAAATTAATAAACCTGGATATTTGATGGGACAACAGAAATATGAAGCTCACCATATAAATCACAACTTTCAGATGTGGAAAACTCATTTTAAAATCTCACCCTGAATCAAAGGTGGAGGAGCTTGAGTTCTACCCAAGTTTAAGATTAGGAAATGATTTATGAGGAGACATGCAAGAGAAAATCATGTTGAACCAACCAAACCATTTGTTTGACTGATCAAAAGACCTTGAAGAAAATGACTTATTTCCAGGTATTATGAACAAACTGAAAACATAGTAACTTCTGTAACTTCTAGGAAAAAAAGTGTAGGATGAAATTTGAATTCAGAAAAAAATTGTTTTGGAACTGATTTTCTAATATGACAGTTTCTATTTACACACTTCCTTCTGCCAAATACAGTCATGTCCCTCAAATATGTTTCCGTCCACCTTCATGTCTATTTGTATTTTAATAGCCCATAAAATCTGGGTAGTTCTGTCCATACACACCAGGGTGGGGCCATCTTCTGCAGCATGAGAAGCCTACCAGTGACCACAGTTTCAGCAATGCTTTTCCCTTCTCTAGAAGCTGCCAAAAGCCCCTCAGTATGGAGTGGTGCCTAGAGATCATCTATCCCAAGATTTATTTTCTGTCTTGATATTAGTCATGGATAAATTTGTATTCATTCTAGAAGTTATAAACATTTTTGAATGTTTATCATGACATTTTAATTGAAGCATTGAACAAATTTATGAGCCCTAATGTGAAGTTTAAATATGCATATATCACATAATGATAAAATCAAGGTAATTATCCTCATTATTTCAACTTTTATGATTTTTTGTTTATAGAAAATTCAAAATTTCACTTCTAATGATTTTATTGAAAATTATTTTTTTTACTGTCCTTTCTTTTGTTTCCATTCTTGTCTCTAGCCTCTAGCATTCTACATTCTATTTTCATGAAACTGAATTTATCAGAATGTTTATATGAGTAAAAATGTACTTTGGTTGTCTTTGTGAGTCTGGATAATTTTTCTTAGTGTTTTTCAAGTTTATGCACTCATGCTGCCATAGATGAAAGTATTTCTTATTCGCATGAAAGCTTAATACTCTGTTTTGTATTTAAAGATTTTTTCAGCACATTTTAATATCAATTTATTTTAGAATAGATATATTTGTAATATATTATTTCTGTGATATTTTCAGATTTGCACATTTCATATAGTAATACAGAGAATCTATGATAAATCACTTTTCAAAACTATAAACCACATTTTTTAATCTACATATTGCTTTCTAAAGCAAATTATTTAATTAACAATATTTCTTAGATATCTTTCATTTGAATTCTTTGAAAATATTCAGAAATAATTTTCCAAAATTCTGCAGCTACATATAATAAATCTGGACCATTGTTTATCCTTAACATGTTCAACTTTTTGCTTGTCTGTGTGGTTTACAGGTTGTCGGGTACCAGCCATTCACTGACACCTCAAAGTGATTTGGATTCCAGTAGTTCTGAAGAATTCTACCAAGCTGTCCACCATGCTGAGCAAACATTTAGGAAGATGGAGAGTTACTTAAAGCAACAGCAGCTCTGCGATGTTATCCTAATTGTTGGGAATCGAAAGATACCTGCACATAGGTATGGTATGGTAGAGTCTTTATTAGAATTATGCATTCATATTCACAAAAGTCATAGACTCATTTGTAGACTGAAGAAAATGCTAGGGTTACAGTAGTAAAGAACAATATCTCTTAAAAAACTTGGGTTTAGTGCTGTTACTTTGCTTTGCTTTCAGTGAAAATGTATAATGTCATTTTCATTAATTAGCCACTAAAATTAAAACAAAGCTAAAGTTAAACAAAAACACTTCTTTAAACTGATAATGAAGGGCAAAAATAAAACTTTTATCTGATTCCAAATCATACTAAATGAAAAGAATAATAATATAGAAAATTGGCTTAATATTTGAATTCAATTGTCATTCTGTCAAAAGTTTTTAAAAAAAAATGGTTATTCTAGTTATACTGTTGATTTAACTGGGACATTGATAGAAAATTTGATATTGACATTTGGTTTTACATTTATTAAACATTAATATTTGGCATTACATTGTTTTTAGTTTCAAAGTTATTTAAAAGAGAATACTTTCACACATTGCTTACATTTGTGAGTCTGAAACTTCCAAGATACCTGAACTACATATGGAATTATTCTGTGACATATTTATTTGCTATAAGTCCACTTTAAAAAATCCAGTACATTTGATGTTGATATTTTAGCGGTGTTTTCTAATTCTTTTTGTATTTAAATTAGAAAAGAAATTTAATTTAAGGGGAAGACTGATTAAATGATTGCACCTAACTACCAGCTTCCCTAGCATTTCCACATCTGTAGATTCAATCAACCACAGATTGAAAAGGACTCAAAAAACCCCAAACATTTGAAAAGCCCAGGCACAGAATGCTTTTCATCATTATTTTCTAAACAATACTGCATAATTTGCATGTAACTCATATTATATTAGGAATTGTAGCTAAAGTATACAAATGGCATATGCAAATAATATATATATATATATATATATATATGAGATTAAACTTCCTTGGTTTTAAGTATCTATGTGAATCCTGGATGTAATTTCCTGTAATAGCAAACGAGAACTCTATTTGTATAAATAGTTTTAGATTTTCTTGATGTATGTCATATATTAATATCAATGAATTAGCAGAAAAGATTAATTATCTTTGTATTTAAATGTGTTCAGTTTTCTCCCTGATTAATTAATTAATTAATTAATTTATTGTGGCACATGCCTTTAGTCCCTGCACTTGGGAGGCAGAGGCAGGCTGATCTCTTTGGTCCAAGACCAGCCTGGTCTACACTGTGAGTTCCAGGCCAGCATGTGCCACAATGCCTGGAACTCTGGTTTTGTAATTTTTAATGTGTGTTTTGAGTTTTTTACATTTTACATATTAAACAAATTTAGACACCTTCCCTTATCCATGCTCCCTCAGCACCCACCTCCCTGAATTCGATGCATGCTGACATATATGTTAAGTCTTATCCTGCCAAATTTTCTTGCACAAATGACACTTTATGCAAGGTCATCCATGTAGTTTAATCAGCCTATCTTGAATCTCCCCCTTAAAGAAAATCTACTCTCCTTCATTCCACAGCAATTGGTTGCCAGTAGTACTTCAGCTAAGGTTGGAACCTGCTGCCCATTTCCGTGGTTCTGTGCTGGATTGTTGTTTGATTGAGTCAGCGTGGGTCTTGTGCATGCTGTCACCATTGTTGGAAGTTCATATGAGCAAGTTCTGATATCTGTAATGTTCTGTTTCTTTATCTTCATGCACAAACCATTGCTCTTGGTCTTTCAACCCCCACTTTGTAAGTTGTCCCTGAGTGTGGGTGGGTGAGGTTTAATATAGGAATCTTATTCAGGGATACCCATTCTGTAGTCTCTTAAATCTAAAACTTGGCCAGTTGTGGCCTTCTGTGTGCATCCCACTCTCTTGTATGAAGGAGTTTTTCTGAGTGTTGAAGTATATATTAGTAGTCTATCTACCCACCGTTCTAGTATTTTCAATGAACCTTAGGTGTAGACGTTCCACTGTAGATTTGTAACTTAGTGCTGGGCATCTCTCACACATATATTCTCAGTGTATGACCAGTTGTGGGACTCTGTAATAGATTCTATCTGTTGTAAAAAGAAGCTTCTTTGATGAGTGTTGTATGGTTTGCCTGTCTGTAAATATGAGGATGCATATTCAGCATATGTTAAGAACTCTCATTTGTCTAGAGATATGACAGTGATAGAATTTTCTCTAACGTGTGTGTGTGTGTGTGTGTGTGTGTGTGTGTGTGTGTGTGTATTTGGCTATATTTACAGTACCACGGGTGAGTTCCCTCCCATTGAGAGGAATTTAAGTCTAACTAGATAGCTGTTGATTACCCCCTAGATAAAAGTGCCACTACTGCACTAGTAGCAATAGTTCACTCTGCCAGTCATTGTGATTATTAGACTTAACAGCCTGGTTGGACTATTGGTTGATTTTCTGTCTTTGTAGTTTTGCATTGTATTCTCTAGAACGATGAGAGCTGATCTTCAGGGAGGAGGCTTCCAGGTCAGGTCCAGCTCCATTGCCCCAAGTCCTGTGTCTGAAGTATGTTCTGTCTTCAGCAATGGTGTTTTACGCTCATGATCTGGAATGTAATCAAGGGATGTGGCAGTAGTAGCTTGTGTTATTTTGGGAGTCTCTAAGTCTACCCTAACCAACAATTCAAAGGGAGGTTTCTCCTGTCTGATGCTGTTATGTGATGCTTCTTTGTTATATAAGAAATGTATACACATGCACTCATGGTGAGCTATTCTATGTATATTTTTCAGTAGGCTTTGAACTAATGCATTTCTCTCTTGGTTTTCATCTCACCTAAGCTTTATTTATCACTATTTTTTTGAGACAAGGACTCCCTATTGCCCCACCTGGTCTAGAACTCGCTATGTAGAACAGGCTGGACTGGATTTCACAGAGATCCACCTGAATTTGCCTCCTGAGTGTTGGGATTAAAGGTGTGCACCATTATGCTTGACTCGTTGTTTTTTAAATTATAGGGAATATATATATATATATATGATACACAATACATAAGTTTACCATATATCTATAATACACACACACACACACACACACACACACACACATACACATAGAGTCACTGAAGATATGGATTATGCAAAGGAGTCCAGAAAATATAGCCCTGCTTCTATCATGGTAACAATGTGGTTGTGGAATTAAGATTAATATGTGCTAATGAAAACAAAAGTCCTTATGAAATTCAGTAAATAAGCTAGGTTATGTAAGCCCCAATCTTTCAGCTATTATGCGTGTTCTAATAACATAATATGTAAATTTATTTTTCAAGTCTTTTTATTATACTGAATTTCCATTTCAGGAGACTAATCGTTGTCACTTTTGAGAAAAATATATGATGTAATATGTATGGTAAAAATAAAAATTATCCTGACCTAGTATTTAAATGGTATCCACATAAAATTTTAATTATAATCTTCAGTGTAAAACCTATTTATAATAAAAAAAATTAATCCATAGCTAGAATTATTTCAATTGAATACTAAATTAATAGTTATATATAAAAATATGCTTGAAAAGACAGGACCACTCAAAAAATGCATTAACAAAAAAATTATTTTTTCTTAAGAAAAGAAAAATGGTTTATACAATTTAAGTTATATAAGAGTCTTTTATTAGTGCTGATTCATTCTAATTTAAATTCCCTATGTTTATTGTATTGTACATGGATTTCATGATTATTCCTTATTTTGTTTATTTTTATTTTATTGTCTCCATTGCTGTCTAAATTGTTTTGTGATATATATAACTGCACATTTTAATCTTACACATTTATGATTATATGAAATACTTCAATTACATTTATTATTGTCATTCTTCTGAATTTAAGTATGAGTAGAAACATACTTTTTAATCATCATGATTAGTTGAACTCAGATTAATTTTGTATATTCTTGGCCCAATTAAGAGATAGACTTACAAATTAAAATATTAGAGTATATTTGAACAGAAAGAAATTCCCAAATCAAGTGATTCAAAGCCCATATTCTGAAGGCAAGAAAAAATATAATATTGGTTTGATTAACAAAGAATAGTAGCATACATAGGGTTCAGTTCTTGGTTTTTATTTATTTGCATTTGTTTGCTTGTTTGATTTTAGATAGGTGATTGAAATGTAGCCCTGAATGCTCTGAAATTCACTATGTAGATAACGTTGGCCTAAATCTCAACAGAGATTCACCTGTCCTTGCCTCCGAAGTGCTGAGATTAAGGACCCACGCCAACATGCTCAACAAGTTTTGATTTTTTGATTGGTGAAATTGCTGTGACTTAGATTTGATTTTGCACAGTTTGAGAGCCAGAATGTTGTAATGAGAAGATTGCATCTTTAGTGGACTCCCAATCACTTATCTTATCAACACTATTATCTAACACTTTCACACAATTTTACAAGTAATTTGCTTCCCTAGAATTTGAAGTTTGATGAATAATAACATAAAATATTAACATTTTTAACACCTGAAAATACAGACACTGCTTCTTAAAGTTATATTGGCTCACCTTATCTGTACTTTGCACCATGAAATGATTGTAACAATGTAAAAATTGCCACCTGAGTAAAGGAAACAAGAAGAGTGTACTATTCACTTGTATTTTAATTAATAGAGTTAGATATTCTCTTGGTGTAAAAAAATATTGTAATCATTATCACTGGAAATATAGGAACAATATAATATCCAGGTAATATAAAAAGTAACAGTATGTATGGAGGTCACTGTCTTCAAATAAAGGTACTGTAATTACATAGCACCCACTAACCATTCATGAACATCATGTATTAATTCCTATTAATGCTCACAATAGTAATTCTCAATATTACTGAATACCTATTTAATAAATAATCAGCATTAGAGGATTCCCTCTCAAGCTCTATGCAATGCTGTGTGCTTATAATTCCAGCTATGTTGGAGTTGGAAGTCAGCCTACAAAACATAGCAATTCAATAATAACTTCTCATATAATACTTTGCTTCCCTATGGTTAC